AACATTGATTCATTTTGTCAACAATCACTTCACCAACAGTTGTTTCGTTAACAAATGGTTCGAATTTAAGAAGTTGGGAGCAACCATTTGAAATAGTCTAATAAATTAAATCGTACTCCTCGAAAATGTATTTAAAGGGTTGGTTTTCGACTTTGTTGAAGAATAACTCTCTTCCTAACTCTTCTCTCTCGATATAATCAAAATAACCCTAATAAAACGAATGTCAAAATGATTGTAAACGCAATCAATTTAAGATATACGATCAAGAGAAAACACGGACGAACATTTTCAATTTTATGTTTTTTCATTAATTCAATAGTTTTTGCGAATTTTAATTTTCTATTAGTGGTTGGAATTTTGTTTTTAATTTCTTCAATTGGTGGATGTAATTGTGTCCATTTAGATGCATCACTACTTTCATGTTGCTTTGATTTTTTTATTACATTTATTGTTTCTCCAATATAATATTTTCCATTTTCACATTTCAAAATGTAAACGTAAAACATTTTATTTTATTAAAAAAAAAATGAAAAACATAAAATACAAAAGGAAAAAATATATAATTAACATTGTAGATTATCAAGTAATACAACATTTTAATTTAATACAACGTTTAATCTAATTACATTTTAAGAATTATTGATTTTACGTTAATCTTCTTCTTGGGGAGGGTTTAAATAACATAATAAAATATTATTATTTTCTAATTCGTTTATTCGATTCATTATTACTATCTATATCTAAACTATGTTTTGAAGATTGTATAGGAATTAATGATTGTTCTTTTAAATCTATTATAGTAACATTTAAATTAAACCATTTTCTTTGATTATTATCTAACGCATTTAATAGATTTTGGTCTGGATTACAAAGTATTATACATGGAATAGATCCATTTATAGTTTTTTTGGGTTGGTATTTATCAGTCATTTCAAATTGTTTTTGGCATCCAATCATTCCCTTATATGTGTCAAATTTTGTAGTTTTATATTCTCCTTTATTAAAATTCCATTGGAAATTATCCAAAATAACATATTCTGCATCATCGTCCCATGTTGCTAAATTGTGTGTATTACACCAATATACATGTTTTCCATACGTTCTCATCAATTCTGTTTTTCCTATTCGAGATTTTCCAATTAACAATAAAGATTTATATCTTTCTTTATTTTTTGTTAAAATATTTTCGTTAACCCATTGTTGAAGATTAGATGGGATAATAAAATCAGATGGTTTATATTGTGTTGTATATGTTTTTTTTGTTGTTGATCTAATAATATCTTCTGATACTGGTCTAATTTCAGGAATTGATTCGATATTAATTTTTTCTATTTTTGCTATTTCTTTTTTTTTATCAGTTAATGCTCTATGATGTACTGGATCACCAAAAGTGAATGGATATTCTTTGGTAAAATCCATGTCGTCCCAACGAGCTAACGAACGTACACAATCTTTATTACATAATTCGCATATTTTTTCAATATCAAAATAATCACATTTGCATGATTTATGTATCTTACACCTGTTGTATATTTTTCCACAATAATCATCAGCTTCACAAAATGTTCCACGTGTTTTTTCAAGATGTAATGTATTATCGTTTAATTTTTTTTTGATTGCTTTCATTGTTGTTGCTTTATGAGCTTGTAAATTGACCTGAGCATGTAATCTTTGATTATCACCTTTTTCGTATTGATATTTAATATAATTAAACATATCTTTCAATTTTTCGAATTCTTCTATAGATTTAGGCATCGTTCGAACACATTCAATTTTTAAATCATTACACTCTTTACAAACAACATCATTACATTTATTTCTTTCACAACATTCAGTACATTTTAATGTTTTACAACGAACATGTACATTTTTACAATGTTCACAAAGAATATTATATTTATTTTCTTTTTTTGATTTTTTTATTTCATTTTTTGATAATGGGTTTTTACATTTATAGCTTTCACGACAATTTTTGCAAAAATATGAAGTTACTTGCCAATATTTATGTTTTTCAGAACATATCTTTTTATTTTTATCATTTTCAATATTATTTTCAATAATATTGTTATTATTATTGTTATTATTATTATTATTATTATTATTATTATTATTATTATTATTATTATTATTATTATTA